GGCTATGCTGATTTGTACGCAAAACAGAAGAATTTTGAATCTCTGCGCAGCTCTAAAAGAGATGAGTTTTTTGGACTCCGTGACTTCTATAGGTTTGTTGCTTCTCTACTGGACATTCACAGCTTATAAGCGGTCTTTGTTGTATCTTGTCTTCTTATCAGTGAGTAATTGTGAACATGATTTTATTGTTAGTCTTGTCAAGATGGTGTATAGCATAGCAGCTGACAAGAACGGTAAACCAACCKGGACAGAACTTGAGCACGCAATCAGGAGAAACTTCGGTGGGCTAGATGAGATAGATGCTGTGAAGATATTCCGAGAACACGTCAGTGATGCCAGGATACAGGTATTGGTATTAGCCATTCCGAGCCTTGAGGAAAAAGCTGGGGCCAGTTGGAATTGCAGTGCATTGTGGGACTGTCATAGKTGACGAAGTAGACGCCATCTTGGAAATGTCATCTTTAAAACAGCCCCGAAATGCACTGCGCAGAATTATGTTAAAAGTTTAATTTAAAAAAAAAAAATTATATCTCGAAATTTTATCTGATGATTAGGATAGTGAGCCAGTGGATACCCTGGATTTGTTGCGGGCAAGTCTTGATCACAAGAACACCGTCGGGTAATTCACAGCACTTTCTTTGTATTGGTGAATCTCGTAWGACATTTGATTCAATTAATGATTTCGTTGATTTTATTTATAACAGAGAGAGCCGCTATCTTYTAGTACTGACGGAGAACTATTCAGCCCTCCGAATAGTTGAGCAAGAACTTATTAACAACAAGGATAACTATGTGGTGATATTTGGGAGCAGCTTTCCTAAAGACCAAGAGTATACTCAGGTATACTTAGTAATTAGACCTAGAGTCCCAATGGGCTWTGAGTCGATAGCTTGTGAGGCCAAAGGAGGAATGGGCTATTGATTCATTCATAGGCCATGAGGGCGAGAGGACTTATTAATTTAGTCAAATCCAACTAGTCGGTCACATATACAGATGCAAACAAAATTTGAATTAAAGTTAAATTCAATGTTTTGGTTTTCAAAGCCTGCACTTTTTGCTACTAGTAGCTATATAGTCTAGTARTAACTCATCCAATTAGAGCGCAGCTTTAATGATAGACCACTAGTTTGATTTGACTAATATTTGTTAGCATAAACTTGTGGTGTATTTGAAATCGTGCGTTTTGATTGGCTAAGCTACTCATAGTCCATGGAGAAAAGTGCCAGCTTTGCAGATAGTATATTTGTTTCTGCCATGTTCCGATGATGTCCAACTGGTTTGATTATGCTAAAACAATCTAGACCTCTTCCCGTCATGAGCTYGGCGGCTCCTCGTGGAATACCGACTCGTACATCATTTGAACTACTGGTCTTAATCATTCTATTTAGATGTATCCACTATATTTTTTATTTTAATTAAAATTTTAGGTTTGTCGTAATATAAACCAGATTAAAGTGTGCATGGAGACAGGACGGACAGTTGTTCTTCTTAATCTTGAAAGCTTGTATGAGAGTCTCTATGATGCATTAAATCAGGTAAACATTCAATACATAGATATAATATAATATATTATGTTTTACTTAACCACACCCCACCAAACCTGGCACACCATATCACACCACTACACGACCATACCATACCATACCACTACCATACCACACACACCACACCACTATACTACCATATCACTACCACACCACACCACTACATTACCA